CAAAAGACAGCCTGCTATTCGTTATAGTATCTACCCACTGTCAGCTGTCATTCACAAGGAGAGAGTGCACCAGATGAGGAACTAGTCCTCATCAGCCTCCATCCACTGTCAGCATCACTGGTTGCTCAGAAGCTGTTAGGTATGAAGTTAACAGCATCCTTATAGACTGTTGAAAAGGTGGGGGGGAGAGGAGAGGTAGAAGCCACAAACTTTCTGCCCTGCTACACATTGTGCAGAGACAGGCACTCTGCCTGTGTCTGTATGCAACATAAGAGTAGGCTTTATTACCTGCAGTTTCATTATCTACACACTAGTAATTATTTTTTAAACTAGTGCATTAATAGTGCCACTTTGTCAAAATGGTGCAATTACCCACTTGCCTACTGGGCACTTATACCCTCTTCGTGCCCAGGCCAATTTTCAGCTTTCAGCACTGTTGCACTTTGAATGAACTGCCATTCGGCTATAGCGCGGTTGCCAAGTGGTTAAGAAATACCTGAATCTGACACGTGTCAAAAAATTTATCAAAATAGGGGCAAGGATTTTTTAATCTGGAGCAGGCCATTTTAAAGGGTCATAGCTCCAAACAAATGTTGTTAATGATTTATAGAATTTTTGTGGCAATGTCCAATATGCATACACAGCTGATTAAAGTGTCAGGTTGCAGTTTTGTCCACTGGATTGAAGAGTTTTCTCTTTTAATGGAATGTTTACATCTGGAGTTGCTAACTGTGGAAGTTCTCACATACAGTATACCTCATACTGTAAGAGTATCACACAGCTATGGTTACAGATCCTCAGATGAATAATGGTAGTATCAATCATCATCATTGTCATCATCGTCATTTTTATATTCATTATATAGCAAATACTGTAACTTTATTCAAATATTATTCAGTGCAGCTTGGAAGAAATACTTTACAAAAATAGGGTTCTGCGGAAGGAATCAATGCTTGTCTAAAATGTATTTTCACTTACTTGTGTAGCAAATGTGTCTTCCACTCTTTGGTTTTTCACAGTGTCTTCCAAAAGGTGAGCCCGAGAATCCAGCAAAATAACCAAACATATTTTAAGTTAAATTTAGAAAATAGCAAAAATGCCAGTTAAAATACTCACAAAATGAAAAAAAAAAAGGACTTGAGGCATCCAGCCATGCTAACTTCATGGTTCTGTTGATGTATCTCCACCGAAAAAAAAAAAAAAAAAAATCTTCTGTATGCAACTTTATTTTCTAAAGATCGGCTATATTTTTGGATTCACTTGTTGACCCTGTATCAAAAAAAACTATTTCATTGATGTTATTTGGTCCTCTCTGCTTGTAATAATACATTGTGAGTAAAAGATCTTGCTATAACGTTTGAGCCCATCATGCAATAGTTTCTAAAAGCATTTACTGCTGAAACACAAATGTATACAAATGGATTTTGGAAACTATAGGGCAAAAAGCCAGTACACTAATGGATAGATGTCTTCAGTTCAGTATTGATGTTTGAACATCTTGGCAGCACTTACATTGTTCTTTACCACAAAAGTCATATTGCAACAAAAATATCTAAAACATTTAAGGCTTGTATAGCTCTTTTCAGTTAACTTGATAAAGATTTCTACATTTTAAAGCAATAAATAAACTTGCAAAAAAAATTCAGTGAAATACGCAATCAAGAAACAAATGATGATATGTACATGTCCCCATTTGCCTTTTTCAAATGCCAATCCCTTGATTTAAAGGAAACCTGTAAGAACAGCTCTAACATGACATGACCAAGTATCCAAACTAGTTCTGAAGTCGGAGTTCAATCGCTGGAGCAGGGGCGGACTGACCATTTGGAAACTCGGGCACTGCCCGAGGGCCCGGGGTGAGTAGGGGGCCACATGAGATGCCCCTGGTACCTTTTTCATAGGCTTTTTTGAGTTTGGGCAAGGACACAGGGGCCCCATGATCCCCTATTGCCCGGGGGACCCATGAGTTGTCAGTCCGCCCCTGCGCTGGAGCCTATATCTTTCAAAGGAAACTCCCTATTCTGACATCAACTCTTATTTATTATAGGTATTTACATAGTGCTGTCAATTTATGAAGTGCTTTATATATATTGTACATTCATATCAGTCCCTAATCCTCAAGGAGTGTACAATCTAAGGTTCCTAACTCACATTCATACATACACATACTAGGGCCAATTTACCTACCTAATTTACCTACCAGTATGTCTTTGGATTATGGGAGGAAACCAATGCAAGCACAAGGAGAACGTGAAAATGCCAGGCAGGTGGTGTCATGGTTGGTATTTGAACCAACAACCCTAGTGCTGGCAGGCAGAAGTGTTAACCATTTAGCCACTGTGCTGCCCTTCAGCACAGTTATTTTCCATGCTGTACTGGTCTATGCCTGCTGATTTACAACTATGCCTAATGGTAAATCTGGCCTTAACTTACAGGCTTGCTTATGACTTGCTAGGAGCAAGTATAATAATGTGATTGATGCTACTGGAACTAGTACAGAATCTGGGAGGAAAGTAAAGACAAAATCAACATTGAGGGTAACACAAAACAGCTGTACTAAGGTACTAAAGGTGCTATAGACTAGAATGTAACATGCTTTTAAATTTTAAATATAGTTTAATTTTTAAATATACTATATATGGGTTAAATTTATTTATTTTTATTTTTTTACAGAGAATCAGACACAAGACTGCAATGTGTAACACTGTTTACTTCCAGAAATGTTTATTGACAGCACAATCTTGTCAAAACTGAGATCAACAATTTGCCATGGGTTCGGTTTCAAACAGCAAGAAATCTGCTGCATACAGTTCAGTAGAAAATCAGCTAATCATCTGTTGTTACTGCAGTTATTCCCAATACAGCTTTCAAAGCATCATGGGAGCAGAATTCTTTCCTTTCAGAACTCCTTAGCACTGACATGCTGAGTAGGAAGAGCAGTTGCACACACAGGGAATGTTTGAATTCTCTTCTAGACTGTTTCAAGCATGTAGTCTATTATATGTGTTCTGTATCAAAATGACTTACAATACCTCTTGAAAATGTAACAGGGGGCATATCCTATGTTTATGGTATGTGACATAGTTTGAAAAACATTCAAGTACAGTTGTCCAATTAGTTATTTATTGAAGAAGCAGGTTTAAAAAAAAAAACATATTTTAAAACTTTCAAACTGTGTTCTTGCTACTTTGGTTACTTTCTTTCTAGAAGTGTTCTGCACATCTAACTGACAACACTAGCAGAAGCGCACCATTTGTTCCGATAGCAGCAGTGGGTGTAATGTGACCTATTATGTTTTATCTACATCAAGTGACATAGTATGCTGTTTTTACACAATTTCGTTCAATGAGAATTAGAAAACAGATGGAAGGAAAGGAATTAAGTTAAATTTACTCTGTCTGTGTGCACTTCTAATACATGAGAACAAATTAAAAAATACATTTATTAAAATAAGCAGATGGTAAAATAACTTTCTCAGCAGACTTAAAAGTTAAAATGTACAAAATTCATTGATATGTTGCATGCTAGGTCTTAAAACAAGTATTAGATTGTTATTGATTTAACATAATCAAGCTTATGTCATTATAAATCACTGGCCTAATAAGATAATTATTCAAGTAATACATTTGATTATTGATGACTATTATACCAGGATTTGAAAGTAGCTGTCATTTCAAAGCCGTTGTTTCTAATTTTTAGGGACTCCTTAATGATTGGCATAGTATTACTGGATTGGCATAAGGCCAATGTGGTGCCTATATTTAAAAAGGGGTCAAAATCTTTACCAAGTAATTATAGACCTGTTAGTTTAACGTCTATAGTTGGGAAGATACTGGAGAGTTTAATAAAAAACCACATAGATGAGTTCTTGCTGGAAAAAAATATTTTAAGCAACAGACTGCATGGATTCATGAAAGACAAAAGTTGTCAAACAAACTTGATTTCTTTTTATGAGGAGGTGAGCAAAACCTTGGACAGAGGGGTGGTGGTGGTGGATGTGGTATACTTGGATTTTGCAAAAGCGTTTGACACAGTTCCCCACACACGGCTAATGTTTAAGGTAAAATCTACAGGCTTGGAAAAATCTGTATGTAAATGGATAGAAAACTGGGTAAAAGATCGTACTCACAGAGTAGTGGTTAATGATTCATAGTATGAATGGTCTAGGGTCGTCAGTGGTGTACCCCAAGGTTCAGTGTTGGGACCCTTACTTTTTAATATATTTATAAACTATATAGGGTCTGGGATTAAAAATTCCATTTCAGTCTTTGCAGATGACACCAAGCTGTGCAGTGGAATAATGTCCTTACAGGATGTCTCCAACTTACAAGCCGACCTCAATGCACTGTTTAATTGAGCAACTACGTGGTAAATGAGATTAAATGTTGATAAAGGTAAGGTTATGCACTTGGGGGCTAAGAATATGCATGCATCATACATAATAGGGGGGAGTACAACTGGAGGAATCAATGGTGAAGGATCTGGGAGTTCTGGTAGATCACAAGCTTAATAATGGCATGCAATGCCAAGCTGCGGTTTCTAAAGCAAGAAAAATCCTCTTTTGTATTATCATATTACCCCTGTACAAATTATTAATAAGAACTCATCTGGAATATGCAGTTCAGTTTTGGGCACCAATTCACAAAAATAACTTTGGGGAACTGGAGAAAGTATAGAGAAGGGCAACCAAACTGATAAGAGGCATGGAGGAGTTTAGCTATGAGGAAAGATTAGAGGAACTGAATTTATTCTCTCTTGAGAAGAGGAGATTAAGGGGGGATATGATCAACATGTATAAATACATCAGTGGTTCATATAGTGAACTCTGTGTAGAGTTATTCACCTTAAGGTCATCACAGAGGACAAGGGGGCACTCTTTACGTCTGGAGGAAAAGAAATTTAATCTCCAAACACGGAAAGGTTTCTTCACAGTAAGAGCTGTGAAAATGTACAATAGACTCCCACTGACTGGCATTGATTGGCATTGATAGGCAGCAGTAATAGGCACTGAAAAATGGGAGTGATGGGCACTGATAGGCGGCACTGACTGGCACTGATACGTGGCACTGATAGGTGGCACTGATGAGTACTAACAGACTGCATGATAGGCAGCACTAATGGGCATTGACAGGCATCAGTAATGGGCACTGAAAGGCAGCTCTGTTAGACACTGATATGTGGCATTGATGAGCACTGATCAGCGGCAATGATGGCCACTGAAAGGAAGCACTGATGTGGCTGCACTTATAATCACGGTACTGATGATCGTTGCCCTGATTATTAGTGTAGATGTCCCCTCCGAGGAATGCTGATTACCGACTCTCCTCTCCTCACGTGCTCTCAGTGTGAGGAGAGGACTGCCGTTAACGGGCATTTCCTGTTTACATGTGATTAGCTGTGATTGGACACAGCTGATCACATGGTAGAGCCTATGTCATTGGCTCTTTACCACAATAGGTAATCCGCTGTGTCCTAGGAACAGAGCGCACCACTGACTGCCGCACCAAGCATTTCCGGGGGGCGTGCATGCGCAGCTAGAGTGAGAGGACATCATATGAAGAACAAGAGAGCTCCCGCCTATCTGTCATTTCCTGATACAGTGGCAAGAGCCAGTTAAGAAGTGTATGACCAGCTTCAAAGAGCCTTTGTGCCGAGGCTGAAATAATAAAAGGAGCATTATTTTGCTATGCACCTATATCAATTTAACCATACCAAAACAAACAAGCAAACAAAAACAGGAACATTCTCACTTTACAGTTATAAATAAATGTTATGTTTCACCTGGGGTTTTTGATAGCTACAACTGCTGGACAACTGTTTGCTATATAGAATGGTTTGCTATATAAAATAAAAGTTAAGTCGAGATTGGTTTATAAAAAGGGAAAAATCAAAATGTTTCCCAATTATCCTATTGTAATTATAATTCTGTGAATATTGGTAGCCCTTATTTTAATGATATGTCTGATTTTGACAATGCTATCTTCTTTAGTATATAGCTAAAATCTCCACTTGTTAAGCTGATGCTAAATCTTTACCAACTTTTCACATATTTTATTTTTACAAATTTATGTTTATTGACACAATTCAGCAGCGATAACAGTTAAAAGAAATGTATCCAGATACAAAGGCTAGAATCAGTGCAACATCAGGATATATAGGACAAAAGACAAAATAGAACATCCACAGTGAGTCCATCTTGGTCAATATACCAATCACAAGAGCAAATCTTTAAAAAAAAGAGAGACAGTGAAGCCTGATGAGTAATTAGAACATCAGAGGTCAGCATACATATCCTGAACCACTAGAGCTCTGAGAAGAAATTAGAATGGAGGGAAGCAGGGAAAAAGAAAAGGGGGGGGGGGTTGAGGGGAGGCCGGAAGAAAGAGGGGGGGGAAGGGGGAAAGAAGGTTCTGATCCAAGGGGGGGGGGGGGCAAATAAACACTCTCAGTTGGCAGGGCCCGGTTCAAAGAGATCTTTGCCCTCCTCGGAATAGACAAACATATTCCACAAACCCCACATCTTAGAGTAGAGTGTCTGTGTTGTGAGGTCAGGAACAGTCCTCCATCTGGCTGAATTTTTCCATTTTCATGAGATATAGTTGGATAGACGGTGGGCTTGTACTTTTCCATTTGAGGGGAATACAATATTTGACAGCATTAAGGAAATGGCGAAAGATCGTTTTTTTTTGTATACTTTTGCTGAAGACGTGTAAAAGGAAAGAGGCCGGGTCATCCAGCACCACATATTCGGTAAATTTTTGGGTCAAGCAGTGAACGAGTCAACTTAGGACAGGACCAAAAAATATGTAACAAAGTATCTTGTACCCTTTTACAGCACCAACAGTTATCTATGGTATTTGGGAAAAGTTTACACAAGAAGACCAGGGTACGGTACCATCTAGTGAGAATCTTAAAATTAAATTCTTGAAACTATGTACATGCGGAAGATTTCAAAGCAAATCAAATCATGTTTTTCCTCTGAGAGTTGGTAAAGGAACGACCCAGGTCCACTTCACATTTGTCCAAAAAAGGAGGAAGGTAATCCGTTGGGGGAACGATCATAAGCGCATACATTTTAGAAAGCAGATGGGGTAAGGTGCCTTGTTCCAAACAGATATCCTCAAAAGAAGTCAGGTCTGAAGGTGGAGGAGGGAGGCAAAGAGCATAAATAATGCCAGAGTTGCATCGCTCTCCATAAGTCCAACCTAAATCTCCCCTAGGATCAGTGAGGCATGAAATAGAAGGCCAATCTCCAGCAATTAAAAGTGGGAGGCCTGAAAACGCCCATCTGAGGCCAACAGGCGAAAAATACTATCTCGCACACCCGGTGTAAAGCCGGTATTCCCCAAAATTGGAAGCAATGGGGAATTCCAGGATGACAAGTGCATGGTAGAGAATAATTGCAGGCAGATTTGAGCAGTGGTGCCCACCAAGGGATGTGTCCTGAAAGATGACAACACCTCCCCAAAACTCCATGGCAGGCGACAGAGCATCAAATTACCTTGGGCCTGTTCTAGTCGTGGCCAAAGTGTAATCTCTCCATGGTGGCACCAATCTATAGGGTGGCCCGGATGCACTGCCTGATAATATTTAAGCAGGTCAGGAACTGCTAATCCTCTGACATGTTTGGGGAATATCAAGAAGTAGAATCGAAGACGGGCTTCCTTCCAGCCCAAATGAAATAGTGAGAAAGGAGTTAACTTTTTTAAGATATCTGGAGGGTAGGGAGACGGGTAAAGCTTGGAACAAGTATAGAGATTTTGTCAGGATGGACATTTTGATTATATTGCATCTCCCAAACCAGGAGTGAAGTCCCTGTTGTCATTTATCTAGTAGCGTACGAACCGCATTAAGAAGCGGAGGAAAGTTAAAGTGTTACTAAACCCACAACAGTAAAATCAGTGTGTATATGCAGTAAAGCATGCTTGTTATACTTACTGTGGAACCTAATGGGATAATCCTCCACATTGTGTAAAAAGGCTGTTTGATCCTTTCTTCTCTGCCCCTCCTCTATTTGAAATGACCACCTGATACAGACTGAATCCGTAGTCAACTACACATGTTCAGTTTGGTGTGTATTGCTAGAGAGGTTTTTTTTTTTCTTTGGAGAGTGCATGTGACCAGCACAGGGCCAATCAGCACTGTCCACACAGAGGGTCAGGGGGTTTCACTTCCTCCCAGAGCAGAAAGAAAACTCCTCATGCAAGCTTTAACCAGTGCTCTGCTGAAGTCACAAGACTTCTCTAACTGCTGATGAGAAAAGGTATTTAGCAGTTTATGTTTACTAAAATAATTGCATTTCCATGGAAATTGGATTAAAGTAGGCAACCGATTACAACCAATACGTATGTTGCCAAAAAATGGGAAGAATATCCTCCCCATTAACAGGAGCACCTCTATCCCCACATCAACAGTCATGTCCATATGTCATGATCAGGGGTCAGGCTCGAAGACCAGTTGCTATAGCAGTGGAAACCAGCAGGATAGGTACACAGGCAGGTCACCGTGGCAGGTGAATGGGCTCACCTGAAGTACGTAGTCTAAGTACTAACTGGTGTTCACCAGAGCTCCTGATGGTGAAGAAGGTTTTTGCTGCATGTTATACCAGGTCGCGGTCCTCAGGATCACCCCACCAGGAAGTGAGCAAGCCAATGTCCATTCGCGTATTAAGCAGGTAAGGATCAAATGGAAGCATGGTCAGTAAATAAGCCAAGGTCGGTAATAGCAGTTGCAGGTTGGGATCAGGCAGAAGCGTAGTTGAGAACAAGCCAAGGTCGGTAATGAGCAGTCACAGGTTGGGATCAGGCAGAAGCGCAGTCGAGAACAAGCCAAGGGTCAACAACGAGTGGTAGCAAAATATGGATGACAGCAGAGAAGGCAAGGAGCAAGTTATGGGCTGGAGAGCACAATAATCTGGCAAACAGGAAGTGCAGAGACATGGCTTATATCAGGAAGTTAATGGCAGGAGCACGGGGTTCAAGGTTTCATGATAAACAAGGTCAAGGCAGGATAATTTCAAATAATTGTCAATGGAGCTGTCCAGCATTCCAGGTGGCTCAGCAAGCAAGAAGAACCATTGCCATTCACTGCAGAAGGTCCAGGTTTGGACCCAGGCTCTGACATCCTATGGTATTCCCTTAGGATGGGGAGCCCCCCCCACACACAAAGGGGGGAGCTCCACCACCCCAAGTGGGGCAGTATGTCCCTAGTAAAAATCCACCACAGGGTCCAGAGAACAGGGCCTCCCACACTAAAATAACATTACATAAGGCTTATGAATTGAAAGTGGTACAGATGGTGCATCTCCCCATGAGTATCTCCCAGGGGTTATAAACATTGAGGAGATAAGCCCTCTTATTCAAATATAAGGCCATCGATGCCCCAGAACTGCTGTACATGGACCATACAGCCTGCACTATACTGGACAATGCACCAAGTCCTTCCCTGAGGGGTGGAAGGGAACCTGTAAAGAAACTATGGCTAGAGCATTAGGTCCATATGCAAACTAGAAGAGTAGGCATTAGAGTCCTTATAAGCGGCAAACTAAAGAGTCAGGTCAGCAATACGGGGGACTGCTGCTGATACAACTCATGGTGAGGTTGACATCCTTCCCATCTGATGGGTAACACAGGAAGTCATAATGAGAAGAGATTCCCTTGGGGTAGCAACAAAGTCAAGGAACACGGTCCATGCATCTTGCACTGCACAATGACATAATGAAGGCACAAAGTCCTTCTCTGAGGTCTGAAAGAGTACCCGTAAAGATAGTGTGTTGAAAACATTAGATCCATGTGTAGGCCAGGAGAGTTAGCAGCAATTATAAAGGGAAGGGGCTTGTGACAGGCGCGGCATCAGACCCCCAGCCCTTCTCACCAACTTGTGACCGAAGGACTAGCCAATCTAAAATCGTGCTGTCATGTGCGTAACAATGCCACGCTCAGCTGCACCCTGCACAAAGATTTTCCAGCTCACAGGACCACAATCTATGTGCCGCAGCCTGAGAGCGATTGTTACTGGGTCAGGTTAATTATGCAATTAACCCTTCACACTGCCACCACCGCCTTTTTGTACGGAGAAGG